GTAGCCATGCTGGCTGGTGGATGCTGGGAGATGTGGTACAAAAAGGTAATCTTCCCAAGTTTTGCTTTTTATACACCTGCACTTAACAAGCACCACCCATTTTCAGAAAATAAAGACTTCCTCCCATCCTGTTGCCCCCCTAACAGCCATATCACAATGAAAGGGATTCCATGGGGACCTTGGGACCTTCACAGGGGCAGCAAGAGGATTGGAAAGTTATTTCTGGAAAACTGTCCTGGCTGTTTTCATCAACCTTATGCAGTGTAGCTACATGAACAGGATTACAACCAATTATGTAAAAAAAAAAAGTCTGAGAACCAATCCTTAGTCTAATATAACTGTGCTATCACTATATGAACATGTGTAGGGAGGCCCTGAAAAAAATAATCAAGGCATATTAGAAAGTCTCTGGAAATGTGTAATTATACGGCATAGGCCGCAAGAATGTGCTTTCACCATTCAGTAATACTGTTTGTGTTGCCAAGTAAATTTTGACTTATGGAGACCCTTTTCAGGGTTTTCTAGGTAGGGAGTACTCAGAAGTTCTTTACCATTCATTCCCTTCTTCTGCAGGCATCCTGGGACTGTGCAGTTTGCCCAAGGCCACACAGGCTGGATCTTCTTGCGTGCACAGTGGAGAACTCCACAGCCAGTTAGCTAACTCACTGAGTTATCTCACCATTTAGATTACAAATGTCTTTGTTTTATGCCACAATTCAGCACAATCATCTTCGTAAAGCATAAAACCCCATTATAAAGCCTCACCATTTAGCAGACAGTATTGGCTGTCAATCTGCATTGTCCACATAAACTACATGAGGAACATGCAGAATTCTATTGTGAACAATAGCTATTTTGAGGGAAAGTGTAATGTTAGAAGATAAATGTGGTTCTTGTGCATGTGATCTTTAAAATCAAGCACTGCCATATTCAGCTGTTACATTTTAGCTAATAATTTCTAGTATTTCTGCTTTTTATTATTTATTCATTTATTAAATTCATGTCCCCTCTTTCTGCAAACCAGTGGCATTCAAGGTGGCCAGCAGTGATAAGAGCAAATACAAAAGGTACAATTAAAACATAAACAAAATTAAAACACATTACTAAAAAGAAAGTTATAAACCACAACCAGTCAAAGCCCTTTGAGTAAACATCTAGTTTAGATTCCAAAGCTCTCTCTGCATAGAAAAGTGCTGTGGTCTTTTTAGTGGGCCAATAGCTCCACGGATGGAGAAGTGCTTGAGACGGAAAAATCTATCAGTTTTGTTTTCTCCTACATTCATTTTTTAAAAAAAACACCCCAAAACCCAGTTTCTTTCAGTCCCAAATATGGTTGTTGTTGCTAAGTGTTGTCAAGTTGCTCCCAACCTATGAGTGAGTGATCCCCAAAATGTCCTTCTGTCCTCGACAGACCTGTCCAGCTCTTGCAAACTCAAGCCTGTGGCTTCCTTCAGGGAGCCAAATATGTAGTTTCTCAGTTTTAAATCCTCCAACACAAATAGGCAATCTGCGAGTTCAAAAGGAATTCACTTCCATTTCTACTGATCAAGTTAAATAGGTGCAACTGTTCCCAGCATGAAGATGAGGAGCCTCTTAGAAAAAGAAGTTACAATCCTAATTCAGTCCTAACATGATGAATGCATAGGGATTCCAACCTAGACTGAGGTTTGCACATTTTTATGCACTGTTAAAATGCTTCCATCCTAAGGCTGGATAGGTAAATCTGTCCGTTTTGCTTTCTCTCGCGTTCAAATGGTAGAACATGAGGGAAGTTTATCATTTCAAGGTATCAGGTAATGTCTTAGGCACAAAGCAGTGCTCTCTGCTTCAACATACCATCTTTGCTTGTGTAACAGCAACCCAGAAGATCATGTTCAACCAGTATTGAACAGAACTCTCCCCAGCATACAAGTTTCCTGCTTGATGCATACACGGCACCAGACTTTCTCTGCACATAAAAAGTCTGTGATACCATCTCAAGTACTCAGTAACACCAAAGGTAGAAGGATCTAAACCGAGAAACCAGACTAAGGTGCATCCACTCTTTTCAGGATTAACAGTCACATCAGCAGAAAAAACCACACATGTTTAGTAACGATGGGGCAGAGTAACTTTTGGAAGGCAGCTACTGGGCAGCAGTAGGAGTGGAAAGTGACAACGGCAGAGGCACTTCAAAAGGAAGTGATACTCATGGTAACCCTTGTTAGTACTGCACAAAAGAAGGTAATCGTAAACCACTGCTGAATACTTCTGAACATTTCTTACGTTGAAAACCCAATTATGAAACAACCCAAAATGAAGCATGAGATAGTGCTGGAAGAGCAGACTGCCAGGTCAGAAGGACCTCAATGTGCAAGTAGAGGAAAGCAAAGAACAAGTACAAATAGAGCAATATAAAGGGGAATAAAAGCTTCTTTAAATACGCTAGAAGCAGGAAACCTGCCAGAAAAGGGGTTGGCCCTCTGGATGGTGAGGGAAGGACAGGGGACCTAAAGGGGGACTTGGAGATTGCAGAGAAATTAAATGAGTTCTTCACGACAGAAGACTTTGGGCAGATTCTGCTGCCCATACAGCCCCTCCGGACTAATGAATTAAATCAGATACAGGTTAAAAGAGAGGATGTTTTAGACCTAACTGACAACGTCAGGTTACCCACCTGTAATTGTAGTTCTTCGAGTGGACCTCTGTGATTCACACCCTGGGTAATCTGCGCATGTGCGGAGCCTCATTGGAATATTCTAGAGCTTCTCCAGTAGCAAAAAACCACATTAGTGTAGACCCCTCCCCCTCAGTATATGTGCCTTGGCGCCAAGACTTCCACTTCAGTTAGGTCAACCGCCGCATAAAACAAGCGTGGTGTGACAGCGAGGTTGGGTTCAGGATGTGTGAATCACAGAGGTCCGCTTGAAGAACTACAATTATAGGTGAGTAACCTGTCGTTCTTCTTCATGGCCTCTGTGAATCACACCCTGGGTGACTAACAAGCTGTCTTATGCAGAGGAGGGTGTCACGCCAAGGTAGAGGATAACACAGCACGTTCAAAGACCGCATCAGATTTCTGCTGAATGTCCAATCTGTAGTGCTTGATGAACGTGGATGGCTGTGACCATGTGGCAGAATCTGGAAGGGGAACACCGCAAAGAAACGGCGTAGATGTTGCCACTGTCCTGGTAGAATTAGGGCAAACAGATTGTGGAGCTTGCAGTTGAGCAAGCTGGTAAGCTAGGTGAATGGTGGAAGCAACCCATTTAGATATCCTTGTGAGATCAATTGAAGACAACTGTGGGCAAAAAAGAAATATCTACAAACAGCTTGACCTTATCTGGATAAAATTGGAGATAAGGGAAACTGGATCGCAAGGCTGCAAGTTCACTGGCATGATGTGCCGACGTAACAGCAATGAGGAACGCCGTCTTAAAGGTGAGGAGTTGAAGATCAGATGACACTAGGGGCTCAAACGGGGCCCTTGTAAGTCTCTGAACAACCACTGTCAGGGACCACTGAGCTGATGGTGGACACACGTCTGGATACATGTGCGACAGTCCTTTAAGAAAATGTTTCAGAGTAGGGTGTCTGAAAAACTTAGCTGCTGGAGAGGTTGGCGATTGGTAGGCAATGACTGCAGCAAGATAAACTTTTTCAGATGAAGCAGAAAGCGAAGGACCGTGGACAGAGAGGGATTGTCTGTAGGTAGTGAAGACGCTGCAGTAAAGGACTGCAATTCCTTCCATTTATACATGTAAGCCCTCCTAGTTGAGGGTTTCTTTGCCTGATGGAGGACATTCATCAGGGAGGCAGAATCCTCCACGCTGCCAGATGAAGGGCAGGGAGATTTGGGTGAAGAATTTGATTTTTGTTTTGTGTAAGGAGTTGAGGCAGGTGGGGCAGGTGATAGACATGTTTGGAATCTATAAGTGCTCCTATGTAATGAACCAGTCTTGTGGGTTTTAACTTGGACTTTTGTATGTTTACAGCGAGGCCGAGATCATGGAGGAGAGACAGTGTAAAGCAGATACCATTAAAAGGGGATTGGATAGATTTCTGGAGGAAAAGTGCATTACAGGTTACAAGCCGTGATGGGGATGTATAATCTCCAGGCTCAAAAGGGTGGTACTTCCAAATGCCAGGTGCAGGGGAGGGGTATCAGGAAACTGGTATCTATTTGTCTTGTGTGCTCCCAGAGGCATCTGGTGGGGCCACTGTGAGATACAGGAAGCTGGAATAGATGGGCCTGTGGCCTGATCCAGCATGGCTCTTCTTATGTTCAAATGTTCTTAAGCATATAGATTAAACCCAAAAGGACATCTAGTGGTGGATGTGCACAGAGGCAAAAGGAAATTCTAATGATGCAGAAGACATAACATTGGAACATGAAATGTGAGAAATATGAATCAAGGTAAAGCAAAAGTATTTTTCATCTCCATATCTGTTCAATCTGTATTCAGAACACATCATATGAAATCTAGATTAGAGTCAGATGAAGGAGGAGTGAGAATTGGTGGAAGAAACATCAGTAATTTAAGATACAGAGGTGAGACAATATTACTGGCAAAAAGCAGCTATGATTTGAAAGACTCCTGGTGAAGGTGAAAGAAAAACAAAGCACAAATCAGGAATACAGCTGAATATTAAGAAGGCAAAGTTCATGACTAGAGAAGAACTACATAACATTAACATTGCCTATGAAGAAACAGAAATTATCAACAATTTTGTATACTTTGGGTATACAATCAATCCAAATGGAGACTGCACCCCAGAAATCAGAAAAAGACTGAGACACAGAAGGGTAGCAATGAAGGCACTAGAAAAAATCCTCAAATGTAAGGTAGACAAATGCCAAGATCATCTTCATTATTGTATTTCCAACTACTATGTACTAATATGAGAGATGAACAGTGAAGAAAGCCAAGAAAAAAAAGTGATTCATTTAAAAAAATGGTGTGGAAGAGAGCTTGGCAGATACCATGGACCATCATAAAAACAAAGTGGTTCCTGAGCTCTCTAACCAAAGGCAAAAATGATGAAACTGAGGCTGTTATATTTTGGGCACAGAGAACAAGACTCTCTGGAATAGACAATAATGCTAGGAGAAGCTGAAGACAGCAGGAAAAGAGGAAGATCAAATAAAACATGGATTGAGAAGTCATGGCCTTTAATTTGCCACTTCTAGGGCTGTTAATGACAGGACATTTTGTAAATCTCTCAATTCATAGGGTCACTATGGGTTGGAGGTGATTTGACAACACATAAGAGCAACTCAGCAGCTATCAAAACAAACCCCATACATAAATTTAAAGATACCAGGATGATATAAAAACCACACCATATTTAACAAAAAGTAACAAAGGGAATCAGAGTAAAATTTGTCTGTAATCTTGACAATTAAACTACTGCATTAAAACTTTAGCTTGTAACGAAAGAAAATATCAGAATCTGGCAAAAGGATCCCAAGGCCAACTCTACTGTTGTCCAACCCAACATGTTTATCTTCCACTAGTTCCATATCAAAATAAGAAATGAGCAAAAATAAACACAACTTAATTTCATTAATTGCAAGGAATCTCCCAGGACACATGCCACTTCCAGACCCAAATGGCATCAAAAAGTATTTAAGCTTCTTTCCTTGTTTGTAGAATGTTGTCTTCTTCTGTCCATTTTCAACATAGCGGTCAAATTTATATTTCTGAAAGTGAAAAAAAAACACATGAAAATGAATCTGGTGATTATGAAAATGCCAAAATAAGTCTAAGAGGTGATCTGTTAAGAAGTCATGGATGGGGAACATGCAGTTCTCCAGATGCTGCTGATCTCCTACATCCCTCAATACTATCTATATTGGTGGGAGTCACAGTCTATCAATATCTGGAGGGCCATAATTACTTACTCTTGATCTCAATCAATAAACAGTCTTTGATTTTCTCCATGTTACTTTCAGAAGGCAGTGTTACACTTGTGCCTTAAGTGGTGTGAAATTATAATAGAGACAGATCTAAGACAACATGCATTTGGAAGCATGTCCTGAAATTGCACATTTTATTTTGTGAACAGAACTGCCATTCCAGCCATATTTTTTTCTAAAAGCCTTATGTAACAGATCCTGCATACTATTTGCCCCATCACAATCAACATAAATGAACGTCTCACTGGAATTGTGCCTAGTGATCTTGAATTCTATACACATCTTTAGCCGATGACTCAACATGCCCTTGTTCATGCAACATTTTCCCAGTACAATCCATCCTAAGCATACTCAAATATCTGTATTATTTGGTTCAATGGATCTCACTCCCAGATAAAGGCGCATATGATTTCAGATCAGTTTTTTGGGAGGGAGGGGAGGTTTAGGACTTTATCAGTCCATGGATGAATTTTGTTCTTTAAACTATACTTGCATATGGGAGCTGATCTTGCCAGTAGGGGAAAATTTTCAGTAATTAAAGAGTTCCTGCTTCCATCTTTTGTCTCTTCTGATTCACATATAATCAGTCTCATTGTACACGATCTGCTCAAGCCTTAGGATGGAAACAGAATTTTTAAAATTACAGTAATGTCATCTGGTTTGAAGGACTGCTGGTAATTTAGGAGTAACTGCTTGTGTCCTGGGGCTCACACGGCTTGTGCACAATGAGGCTGATTACATATGAATCAAACAAGCCATGGGACAGAAGAAGGAGATCTTTCATTACAGAGAATCTTTCCTCTTGCTGATGCCATCACTCACACATGTGGAATAGTATTTTCACCCATATAATATACTGAGGTGGGGAGTCAGGGCTTGCAGGATTGAAGACCCAGGACATCCTGATCAGCAGGGACTACAACATCATCCACCATCTCACAGAGGATTCACTGTTCCTTCTGAATTTAGCTGCAATCCTCACAGTAACAGGGAACAAAACAGGTTTTCCCAGGAACACTATATTGTTGCAAACAATTCTTGAAATGCAAACTATTTGAGGACAAGTTGGTCTAGAATGGACATTTAAGAGTCATTAGCTTTACAGAAGACCTGCTCCTCATTTGCTGATATGGCCTGATCCCTCAGCAACTACCATTCCACATGTACAATTGCACTACTGATTATAGCACTAGCTATGGCTGCTATTACCCCCACAAGAATGTGCTTCTTGTGGGGGCAATAGGCAACTACAATTCCACATGTACAATTGCACTACTGATTATAATCATATGTTATTGGACAAAAGATTATTTGAGCAGTGTTGTTCCAAAACATAGGGAAAATCCTTCCTGAGCACAGCAGGTTAGTCAACTTTATATTAGAGAAGGGGGTTAGTGCAAATCAGGAAATATTTTAATCATAAACAGATTAGAAACATGATCATCTGAGATTTTTGCTCAAATTAACGTTTATACAAATTAATCAGGTGCGATCCTGAAGGAGGTGGATTACTCTAGCTCCTTATGCTCTTAGCAGTGACTTTCATGTGAAAATGAGGGGGGTGCAGACATAGGCCCTAAAGAAGTTGCTAAGACTGAGGTACATTTTCTTCATTATATTTCAAAACAGCCTTTTCTATACAGGCACTGCCAGATGTACTGTACTATAAAATTTCCATGTTGGCTGAGGAGTGATAAGAGTTGTAGTCTACTCATCTAAAGGGTACCAGGCTAGAGAAAGTGAGTGTACAGTCTTCAGGTATGAAATGTCTAAAATTTAATCTCAATTTGTTCTGTTTTCAGGAGTCTCATTGGAAGCAAGCTACAACTCCACAGTCTGCAAAGTCCAAATTCTGAAAGTTTATCTTCAGCACAATAATGCAAAGGAGACACCTTTGAGTGATTAAGAACACAATCAACATCAGCAGAAATCACAATGATGAGTGCCATAGGTGTGGCATTTCAAATGAAAGGCTTTGTCACATTTGGTTTTATTCATTTAAAAAAATGTAAATAACATATAACCCAAGATGCTGCAGAAGAGCCAGATATTTTCCCTGAAGAAAATATTTGCAAGCCTTCTTTGCTGTTGCGATGACAATGTTGTGGTTTTAATATTTTGTGCATAATTTTGTGTAGCTTTACTTTTTGGGGCTACAGCTCTCAGAGCTCCATGGCCAGGCTCATGTTATCTGACAGATTATGGAAGCTACCTAAAAAAATACTTCCAAGCTCTGATGTTAATTTACATTTCAATTATTCTTATAAGCTACACTGGCACTAGAATAAAAGGCTGCTTATACAGGCGTCAACAAAAACAAAAGGCATACACACATGAGTAAATGAATGACACATCTACACCTTAAACACCAGTGGACGTAAAAGTGGTAGTTCCATTCCAAACAGGGTGTCTCAGAGGTACTCACACAGAATACATGATTTACATGTCTGCTGTGGACTTCGCAAGTGCGTTCAGTCAGTCTCCAACTATATCCATAGCAATCATGTCTGCTGAATAAAGCATGACGCTTTCACTCAGCAGTTCCCAAACTTGGGCCCCCAAATGTTTTAGGACAACTCCAGAAGCCCTAGCTAACTCAGCCAATGGGGAGAACTCTGGGAATAGTAATTGATGAATATCCAGGCCCCAAGTGTGAAAACCACTGTTGCAACTCAGTACAGTATGCTAATTAACCAGTAATTCCCCAAAGCTGAGAGAATGCATAATGTTGAAGAGATCAGTGCTATTTCTAAATGAAGTTTGGAAAAGCTATTCTATTCTATTCTCTTGGACTACAGCTCTCAGTGTTTATGCTAACTAGGGCATTCTGAGAGCTGTAGTATGACAAAGTTACTTTTATATATATAAAGCTCCCTGATTTTGCTGCGTTCGGGACTGCCTCTGCCTCGGCCTGCTGGACAAGGGTATCTTCAAATTGGGAGAGGTCGTGATGCAACGCATGCCTCCAGACTGAATGCTCAGAAGGTTTCCCGTCTGTTGAGGTCCATTCCTAAGGCCTTCAGATCCCGCTTGTAAGGGCTACTGCTTAGACAAATATATGGGCATATTTTGATGCAAGTGCTATCTCTGTATGACACGAAACAGGTGTGGCAAATCACGCCATAATCATACAGGGGCAGGAGTGTGAGCTGCCATGGAATGTACTCTTAGGTTAAAATATCTTTCCTACTTCCTAATTTGATTTAGGAACCAGCTCAAGATCTCTAATAACAATGGTGTGCCATCCAGTTAACTCTCACTTATAGTGAAATGTTTTTCAGGGTTTTCTAGGTACAAAGTATTCAGAAGTGATTCATCATTCCCTTTTTCTTGGGGCAGCCTTGGACTTGCAGCTTGCCCAAATCTACACAGGCTAACTTTTCTCCTGGGGTACACAGTGGGGAATAGACATTCCAACCTCTGGCTCTATAGAAAGATATCCAACCCACTGAAATATGCAGTCAACAGGATATCTGAAGGATCACCATTTCCCATTTCAGAAGACTGTTTTTGACATCCCTTTCATGAGTACCCCTGCCTCCTCTAGGTTAAGCAGATTGTTGGGTAAACACAGCCTTCTCTGTGGTGTCATGAAATAATAATAAATGTTTTATTACGATCATTGACCAGCAAAAGTAAGGAACATTGTTTAAATAATGAGACATAAAATCAATCTAAAAACACTAAAAACGTGTGTGTGTGTGTGTGTATAAAACTACATTCATACATCTTATTAAATATCTCCTGCCTCCCTATCATAGACCTTATCTGTGGCTATTGCATGAAAACCATGGGAAGGTATCCCGGTCCCTGCTTGATTTTTATCGTATTTAAGAACTTCTCCATAATATTTAGCTATTATTTTCAATTGCTACATGTTCTCTCTCTTTCTGTGTGCTCTGCCTGCTATGCTTTTGTGTATTTCATTCCTGTTCTTGGTTTTTAAAATGTTATCTTTGTTGTGAGCTGCCTTGGGGCAGTGTATAAATTCCATAAATCGATTACTCAAATGAATATTGTACAGGGAAGCATGCAAGCTCAGAGATGGACACAGATGGTGTGGTGGAGACAAAGCAAACATTTAAGTAGTGATGAGTCACATGACACCAGCCAACGGAAGTTCTTCAGTGGAACACAACTAGATATAAGCTGTGTCTCTTCAGATATAGTTGAACCTCTTGGCCAGCTAGCCTGGCCAATAGTAGTGTATGAGTTCCCCACCACTTCTCATTTCATTTTATCTCTAGCTCACACTTGTCCTAATACAAGGACTCAAGGTAGTTGATCTCACCTACAGTATACAATGTTTTTGTGGCTTCTTAAGGTCTCTCATTTCAAACTGTTTGTTGTCCATAAGTGGATAACTGAGCCTCCAGAAAACTCTGGGATATGGTTCTCCATTTAATTACTATTTTGGCCCCTACATGTCACAGTAGCTGAAAACTGTCTTTTTTACAGAATGGAAAAAAGGTCTTCAAGATTTGACAAAAGTAGGCGGACACAGCATGCTGGAGTCTAGGGATAGTATAAAATGCAGAACAGTTTGCTCCTCAGACTCTCCCTGGCTGCCCACCTTTATGTTAAATTAAAAAACTCCAGCCATGAAACGATTGCAGTTTTCATGGGAAACAAATGATAGTTTGTTGCATGTACCTGCTTAATTGTAGAACTGATACACAAATTACAGTCTGGTCTGTCTCTGTTTCAAATGTATTTAATTACAAGTTCATTCAATCTACTTTTCGTTATCACACTATGAATTTTCTTTTTTAAAAATATGAAATAAATATGTATTCTTATTATTCTTATATATAGGTTTCTCTTTGCATTTTATTTGTAGCTTCTCTTAAGGACCTGTGGATTTTTTTTCACCAATTTCCAGTAATAACCCATTTTTTTGCATGCTGTTTTTGAGCTAAGAACTACATCCCAAAATTTGGAGAAGCAAGAAATCTAGTAGATAACTGTTATTTCTTTCATTCTTGAAATGCAATCTAGAGTGGTTCACTTAAAAATACACAGCAGATAAAGTCTTCTTTGAGCTTCACTGATACCTTTAAACAGCATTTAATGATAACATTTCATTCTGTATGGAGATACTTTGGCAAACATTATCTTTTGTACCAACCTGATCAAAGAGTGGTCGCAAGACCAGATGGGCGGGGTATGTATGTATGTATGTATGTATGTATGTATGTATGTATGTATGTATGTATGTATGTATGTATGTATGTATGTATGTATGTATGTATGTATGTATGTATGTATGTA